GTACAACTTAAATATTTCAAATTCAGCCTTCAATTATACGTGTTTCTTACGTATGGAGAACTAAAAGTTTTGGCAGGAAAAGTTGTCACTGAACAGCTCGGTTACTCCCAAAGAACGACTGTTAAATGGAAATTGTTTATTTACTTTTCTCCTGAGTTACATGGGATTTGAAGTACTCAGGTCGTTAATTGTATGGATGGTTGCTGCTTTGCACCTACCGTCTGCGCTTACTAGCCTAAACCATCATTAATTTTGCATAAGAGAACTGAACAACTTTTGTTTAAAGGTCGTTCTTTGAAAATGACCTAGCTGCTCAGTAAGCAATTTTCCCGCCAAAAATGAAACTGCCCGTATGTGGGAATCGCGCATTCCTGGTGGCTAAATTTGAAATATTTTTGTTTGTACTTGAAAGGGGACATTCCCTTAAAATTTCGGCTTTTATAGCTTTTCTGGTTCCCGAGTTAATAATTTTCCCGTCGAAAATTTCATATGCCCGTATGTAACTACCACGCTCTCCGGAGGGCTGAATTTGAAATTTCTAAGTTGTACGTGGACAGGGTGCCATAAACGGCACCCAGGAGCACGCAGATGATGACACTAAAACAGGAGGTCATGCATAGTGTAGGCACATACTTTTGATTTTTCAGCTTTCTAGCTTTTCTGATTTCGAGTTGAAAGTGGGTAACAAAATGTGCAGAAACACAAACACACATTCACAGCCTCTTGCCAATATGCATTTTTGCATATATGTAAATGCGAAACGTATATTGTGACTGCCCTGGTGTGTGTGTGTATGTGTGTGCGTGTTCGTCTGTCCAGGTATTTCAACTTGGCACTCAAGCAAGCTTCGGCGCCAAAATTTCGCCGATGGGTTCCCCGGCCAAGTGCTGCCCCAGGACCGCGGTACCAAATCATACGCAAATCTGGGCCCCGCGTACGAGAGGGTGGAAGTTTTGGCAGAAAAACTGATAACTTGGGAATGAGAAAAAATAGAAAGCTGAAATTTTGGGTTATATTCCCCGTCCACATGGAACTCAAAGATTTCATATTAGCTCCCAGGTGTGCATGTTTCCTGCTTACGGCTCCGTGAGATTTCCTGGCGGGAATTCACTAACTTGAGGACTAGGAAAACCAGGGGTCTGGAATTTTTAGAGAATGTTCCTAGTCCATGTACAACTTGAAATCATCGAACTCTGGTCCCAAGAGTGCGTGATTCTCAAGTACGGTCCCATGGAAATTTTTGCTTGAAAATAGCTAATTCGATAACCGGGAAAGCTGGGAGGCTGAAATTTTCAGGAAATGTTCCCTGTCCAACAAAGCGTAGACAATTAACTTCCTAGAATTCGAGAACACACACACACACACATGCGTAACGTTGCCATTAAAAAATGCGTTTTTGCACTTGCACGTATGCAAAACGTATAATAACATAGATATCATATAATGAAACGCACCAAGTGGGCCCGGAGCGATCATGCGTTTTTGTGCTTTTTCGTGCTGTAGCCAGTTCGCAGGGTATCTCAGTAGCTAGAATATGTAACCAAACCTGACA